ATTTTTAGTTGTCCAATTAATTTCTTTCTATTTTTAGTAGAGACGGGGTCTTGCTCTTGCTCAGGCTGGTTTCGAACTCCTAAGCTCAAACAATCTGCCAGTCTCGGCCTCCCAGAGAGCTAGGATTACAGGCGTGAGCCACCGCGCCCGGCCCAAATAATTTTTTTTTAAAGGGCTTCTCTCCCATATCCCCAGTGTGAAGGGCTGCTCCAATGAATCTGAGCCTTTCCTTGGCCTGGGGCCCTTTGCCATATTTTTGTTCATTTATTTCCCCTGCCATCCTGTAACCAATCCTGCCCTATCTTAAACCACAGCCTCTTGCATGGTATTTTCTTTGGTCCTCAGATGAAAGAATTCCCTTTTTCCTCCCCCATACACACATACATTTAGCCCATACTGACAGACATTTATGTGGTAGGCATGTGCACACACATGCTTTGACTTAACATCTTTTCTTCGTATTGTTGCATTTTCTGCTTTCTTCCTTATAAAACTGTTACCAAACACTTCTTTATTTCCCTTATTAGAAAGGGAAGCAGGCTTGATACCTGGACAGTGTGTGTATGCCTAGTCCAACCATGATACCATGTATGCAGTGGACACTCTAACAATTTGGTAATCTGCTGAAGAGCCCTGCTGAAACAAAGATACCTGCTTTGAGACACCAGGTCTTGCTTTATTGCCAGTTTTCTCTCTTTATTTTGTATCTGCAAAGTCTTAATGAGCCTGAATACTTAACCGTCATTTCCTCTGTCACCCTCTTAAACCTTTATCACTGCCTGCCCTACCTTGCCCTGCCCTGTGCCACCTTGCCCACAAGAGAACATTTGAGCTAAAGACAGGTGCCAGTGAAGAGTGAGTTGTAAGAGGAACCAGTTGAGTAAATGGAATATTCAGCTCTTCTGGGCTCGTGGTATTTTTATTGTAAGTGAAGCTATTTTTGCATACTTAAAATATACAGTTAAATCCTACTGAAATGAAAATTTCTATATAGCAGGTGAACTCTAGTTGTTAAAGTGGCAGTATTCAAAAAGAAAAAAGTTAATAAAACATTTTTTAGTAAAACCTTTTTAACTGACTCTTACTATAATCCATAATCATTGGAGGAATTTTGGAAAATAAAAAAGGAAAGATGATTTTACAGAAAAAAAAAATCACTGATAACGTTTTGATGAATATATGTCTAGTCTAGTCTGTTGTGTGTGTATATATTTCCCATGTTGTTAAGTATTCTGTTACTAAATTTTAAAAAATATAATCTGAGTATTCCATTGTTAGGAAGAACCCTACTTTCTTTAACCAGTCCACTATTATTCATACACTTAGGTTTTACAGTCCTTTAATATTATGAATAATGATGTTATAAGCATCCTTAAGTATAAATCTGATGTATAACTAGAGTCCTAGAAGAAGCTTTGCTGTGTCAGAAGAAAGACTCTTGTGCTTACCTTTGTGATAGACACACACACAACACACACACACCTACACAGCCCCCACCAGAAAAGAAGTTTGACCCAGCTTATACTCAAAATCTGAGCATATAGCTTTTAAAAATAGGCATTTGTGTAGTTGTCAAATTGTGACTATTGCATTATTTTAAAAATACACATTAGGAGAGCAGGATACAGGGTTCCAACCCAATAGATTTAGTATTGTTTTTTGGGTCCTCCCCCCCATGGGTTTCTTAGCTATTTGTGTACGTTTTTTGATTTCGCAAATATTTCTGTTAGTGTTTGCATCTTTATTGCAATAACAGCTAATCTGCCCTGACATGCTAGGGGTCTCTGCCATGGACTGAACAAAATGGAAGACATTTTACCTTTATTTTTATTCTTGGTTGTAAACTTTTTCAACCTGTCTCCACTATCATATTGAAGTTTCTGATGAGTTGGGGAAGTGTCTCTTATTTCTGTCATCACCTACAGTTAGCTAGAACATGGCTTTTCCCACACAGAAAGTTCCATGAAGGCTGTGTATGAGGAATTAGAGGTAGTTTGGTGAGGAAGATACTTAGCCATTTGGTAAAACCATTGGCTAAAATAATTTTTGGAGAAGACTTTTGAATTTTAGTTATTCTGTTTAAACATGAAAAATACCTCAGTCTACATGATAATTAAGCCAAGCTAATACGATCAAATTATTGTTTATTGTTCTTTTCCAGTATTAATTTTAAAGACCCGCAGTTTGCTGAAGATTACATTTTTAAAGCTGTAATGCTTCCTGGAGCAAGGTAACAACAATTAACTACCTGGGGTTATTTTATACCAACGATGTTCATCCTTATAACTAAGTATTTGTATTTTCAAATGGTCAGAAAGCCAGCAGCAGTACTGAAACCCAGTGACTGGGAAAAATCCAGCAATGGACGACAGTGGAAGCCCCAACTTGGCTTTAACCGGGACCGGCGACCTGTCCACCTAGATCAGGCAGCCTTCAGGACTTTGGGGTGAGTCGTGGATTTCTATCTCTTACATATTTTGTTTTATCTGAATCATCCCAGAAAGCAGGTCAGTATTTATGACCAGTATTTTTTTTTTTTTACCTTATTAAAATACTGAGTTTATTTCACATGTATATTTTTGTGTGGCCACCATTTCCATGTCTGCCTCCCACTACTACTATGTCCTGTCATAACATTCCATACATACTTAAAACCAAGCAAAGAGTGGAGTTCTATCATAAAAACTAAACAGGCATTTTGGACAAAACATGCATATGTGCCACAAATATTTAACAGACCATAAAATACAACTGTTTTGTAGATATTTTAATAACTTTGATATTTTTCTGATTTTCTTCATTGTTTAAAAATTCACTTCTCTGTTTATAATTCTGTTATTTCTCTAAGGCTTTTTACTATATTGCTGACAGTTATTTCAAAGGAATAAAAAATTGTCTGTACCCTCAAGAAAGTTTTAGCTGAATTAAAGTATTAACCAATACATTAGTATACAAACCCTCCACTTTCTTATTTATTATTTAGTTTTAAATCTCAAATACAGAACACTTAAATTTTTGCTTACTCAATACTTGAACAGTGCATTTTACTGCTACTGAGATTGTCTTTTAATATATTTTTGGTCATTTTTATTTCCTCTTTTGTAAATTTTTGATTTCTATCCTTTGCGCTTATTAGCTGTTGAATTGTCTTTTTTCTAGCTGTAGAAGAGACTATATATAGATAGAGGGACTTTGAAACAATAACAAGTAAAGCTGATATAAAAAGAGCCACAAGCCGAGGGAAATATTAATGTGTTATGGTTCATGAATTAATAATGGTAACACATAAGTAGATATTTTCAATTAATGGGAAAACCTTAAGATTCAAAAAGTGATTAAGGTAGAAGGTCATCATCAGCATGTAATTTATACAGTGACTAGTGAGCGGGACAGTGTGGCATTGTGGTTGTGGGCATGGGCTTTAGATCCATGAAATACCTGCATTGAAATACCTTTACTACTTAATATGTTTGTGAAAGTTACTGAACCACTCTGTGCCCAAGATTCCTTATGTCTAAAGTGGAGACAATAATTAAACTTAAAATTGTGATGATGTTGTAAGAATTAAGTGAGCTAATGTCTGGTACGTGCTTAGGATAGTTACTGAAGACTGTAAACATTAGCTGTTACTGTTTCGGAAAGTCTTCATTCTTAATAACAGTAAAAGAAATGCAAATTTAAAATTGTCTTAAGATGTCTTTTTTTGCATTATTTTAACTGTTTTGGAAAGCAACATAGTATTTCCTCTAAATAGAGTTCTGAGTTCTGAAGATACTGTTAACCTTTGATCCAGATTCCTACTTCTTGGAATTTATCCTGAGGAGATAATTTTAGAGGAGCATAGCTATATGCACAAGTATTTCTAGTGCATTGTAATCTATAATACAAGTGCTAAATGAGAGGAATGGCTTAGTAAAATATGAGACATCAACATAGTGAAATATTCTGTAGATGTACGTATTAGAATTATGAAGACTAAAGAAAGATATAGGGAAGTGTTTGATATAATAAATTGAAAATAGCAAATGTGGAGTAGAAATGTGTACAATGATAGCAATGACATAGGTCTTCGAAAAAACTGAAATATAATGCAAAAGAGAAATAGACTCAAAATATTTTTGTATATGTAAAAATGATTATCAATTGAGAATCTTGGTGTGACAAATGAACATTTGCTGTCACCGTTATCATTGTGTAGTTTTGAACTTTCAATTATAAACCTTTTTGATTTGCGTTATTTTAATCAGCTCTAGTAGTAAAGATATGGCTGCAAGCACTTGCTTAATTTGTGTCAGCTGTGATGTGATGGATATATCGCTATATAATTTTTTTCTTGTGTGTTGGGGGGGTCCTTTTATTTTATAGCCATGTCATGCCGAGAGGCTCAGGAACCGGTATTTACAACACTGCTGCACCACCACCTGCGACTTACCAGGGAAACTTATACAGGCCACTGTTAAGAGGACAAGCCCAGATTCCAAAACTTATGTCAAGTAAGTTTTTACCAGTCGGTGACTTTACATTATAAATTAAATATCACAACAAAGTTTGGTTTCTGATCTTCATTGCTAAAAAAAAGACTTGTTGTATGAGTGCAGACAGTAGACTTTAAAAACATAAGTTAGAAGAGTTGTAAGAGAATACTTTATCTAAAGGCTTTTAAATATTTTTTTATCTCGACTATATATAGTTAACTGAGTAAGATGAATGGGATTTCTTCACTTACAAATCTGTTTTTGAGTTAACACATGCAGAAAGATGTATGTGGAATTGGCTGCAATTTATTCCATTGATGCAAGTATTTAGGCAATAGATATGGAATTGTCACCACTTAGTTCATTGAAGCACAAAGATAGCCTGTCTTGATCTAAATTGTATCTCAGTACTACCTAAGAGATAGCCAGGCATTGCTTTAGGTAGGAATATATACCTTTAACCTTGTCACGTGGGGGTGGGGAACCTGTGGCCTTCTGATTTCAAGATTGTTCTTTTTTAAGCACCAAAAGAGGCAAGAAAAACTTCATCTTTCTCTGCTACACCCCTTTTAATAAAAGGATTTGTTCTGTAAAATTTGGATTCAGTCAAAAGGCTGCAGTTAAGGACCTATTGGGCCATACAGCTTCCCCACCCCTCTGTGGGAAATGGAAAAGTTGAACGTTAGTCTTCATAGATTTTGCATTAATTTTAAACTGTATCCCCTTTAATGTTATTTTTGAGTTCCATGGCTGTGCCTGTTTACCAGGGAAGTATAAGTCATGTGCCAAGTTCTCAAAACCATTGTCTTCATGAAGCCTTTCCTTCTCCATTTCTGGTTGTCTGGTTGCTACAAGGGCAGCATAGAGAAGAAGGAACAGTGTGGCAAGATGCTAACATTTGTTAAATCTCAATTTCGTAGTATTAAAAATTTTTTTTCTGAATGTTTAAAGTATTTCATAAAAATTAAATTTTAAAAGAGAGGCAGAGAGAGCAGACAACTCTTAGAATTATTTTTAAACCGAAGTTGTAGTTATGAAAGAAAATACTTGATTAAAGTGGATAATTGTTGGGAAGTGTTTATGCTGTGTGCCTAGTAATGTTTTAATGCCAATTAAGTCACAAACCACTTTTTAGCCTGAAGCCCAGACTTCCTGGATATGGTACCCTAGAAGAAATGAGTTCTATAGGTCACGTTCTCTCAGGGCTCTCTGTTTTTAGTGTATTCACTCTCTTTCTCTCCCTGTGTCTGGCAGTGTGGCTTTGCTGTGTGGCTTAATGAAATTGAATGGAGCTTTGTGAGACTCTCTCATGAAAACTGTGGACTTCAGCAGTTTTATTCTATTTAGGAGTTTAACGAGCCTGTGGGTATGCTTGTGGTACAGTGGTTAAATAGCTACTTCCCCTCAGATTTAGCCAATAACATGCCTGAGTATTTCCATATATTCAGTATCAAGTCATACCATGTACAACAGGAGAGTTCAATCACTTTGAAAGAGCTTTCTGTGCCGTGAGATTTTACCAATAAATGGTAAGTGCATATCCAGCTTATTTTTAAAGCCAGCTTTTTATTGGCATATTCCTTATCAGCGGCCTTTTTTTATGGCTCTTCGCCATAAACTTCCATCCATAATGGTATCATAGCTTCCAAATTGGAAAAAGAATTGAGAGGGAAAAAATGCTGGAGCCAATATAATTTCTGGGTTAATTTAGCCAATATTTCTCAAGATGATAGGAATTTCTGAGGTTATTGAATTGAGTAAACTTTCAGAATCGGAAAAGAAGTTTGAATAGCAAAGGTAAAAGCATGTGCTCTCCATTAAACAGCTTTTTTCCATCACATGTTTCCTAAAGCCCAGTACATGGGTGCACCACCACTGTAATCGATCCAGATATTGCCTAGTTAGCTACTCAATTACCTTTTTAAATCTGTTTTTTTTCTTAAATCGATTTATTTTAAATTGATCAGTTAGGTCACTACTATGACATTATGGGTTTGATGTGCTTGTTCTTTTCAAATATGCATCAACACTGGGTATGGTGAAGTGGGGGCCTGTGATCCTAGCACTTTGGAAGGCAGAGGCAGGATGACTGTTTGAGGCCAGGAGTTTGAAACTAGCCTGAGCAAGAGCAAGACCCTGTCTCTACAAAACATAGAAAAATTAGCCAAACTTGACACATTCCTGTAGTTCCAGCTATTTGTGAGTGTGAGGCAGGAGGATTGCTTGAAGCCCAAGAGTTGGAGGCTGCAGTGATCTATTATGATACCACTGCACTTTAACCTGGGCAACAGAGCGAGACCTTCTGTCTCAAAAAAAAAAAAAAAAAAAACCACACAAAAAACAACAAAACAATACACAGCAAAATAAATACGTAACTGTGGAGATTAAAAGCTTGGTCATGGACTCCCCAAAATCAACTTGTATGATTTTTGGGAAATGTTCCCCTAGGTCAGTGGTTCTTAACTTTTAGGTAATCATAGGCCCATAATCTGTAACAGTCGTGGACCGACTCTCCAGAAAGTCACTCAGTGTGAGGTTCATGTGAACCTAAGTACCCCTCTTGTGGCCTTCTACTTCCAGCCTATAGGATACTGCTCCAACAGTAAGAGAAAGAAAAACCAGAAAGTTCTTTTATTTATTAGCATCACACCAAAGGTAGAGAATTTCATGCCCTTAGGGGCCTGCAATTCTATAGTTCTTGGCCTGCCTTCTTTGGAAATAGACAACTCTTGTTTGTCTATACCTATTTATTTTATTTCAAATAGTGGAGTCCCCTGTCTACTTTTATTACTTTGAGTAAAAATCTCCTCATTTGCCATTGTCGTAGCTGTTATTAGATCTAATTTGTACTTAAAAAGTACAAAATACTTTAAAAGAGCCTTTGATTCGAATTTATTCCAATTAGAGTAGTATCTTTATTTCAATTACATCATTAAAAGTTAGGAGATGTGTTTTGTGAAGTAGGGATTGATTTAGAGCAAGAAATAGGTGGTCCTCTCTGCCTGGTGACTTGTAAATATTCAGTTGCCTGAGGATTAGTGCTGGGACCATAATGATATTTAACATCCTTTCAAAGGATTGGGAGTAAGAAGAGTGAAAATGTTTATGAAAAAAAAAAATCAGTAAGAATGTGATATTTAAATTGAGCTAACAGGGCGAATTTGGGATATTCCAGGCTGTGAGAAAATAATGTACATGACAAGCAGTTGGGTGGTATTAAGCTTAACATAACTGATAAAGAATTAGCCTGGGAGCATAAACTGGAACAGATTATGAGGGTGGGGAGGCTGGTTTTTTTCATGTTTTTAGTGATGTTTGAAACATCTTTTAACCGTCGTATGTTAATTGAATAAAATTTGGCCTATAACAGGAAAACATAAAAAACACTTGTAATTTCACAGTCCTTAAATAAGCAGTGTTTCTTTTTATTATTATTCATTTATGCAGTTTTTGAAAATTGAGTTACACGTGTATTTTTACATATACATTTTATTGAAATGTAACATGTACCAAATCATATGTGTACAGTTTAATTTTTATGAAAGGAACATGCTTATTTATACACTACTCAGATCAAGAAATAGAAGTTTACCAGCCCCAGAAGCCCTTCACTGTGTCTTTTCCAGGTACTACCCCCACTCATTAAAGGACACACTATTCTTACTGTAGTACCGTATATTAGTTTTCCTTTTTTTTTTTAAACTTTATCTAATGAACTCTTACACTGTTGCCCTTTTTAAAACTTGCCCTCTTTTGCTCAATATTTTGTTTTTGAGATTTAATCGTGTTGCTTGTAGCAATAATTCATCCATTCTCTTAGTGTTCCACCGTATGGCTATGTCACCATTTATTTACCTATCCAGTAGGGGTAGCATTTGGGTTGGTTTCCAGTTTGGGGCCACTGAATAGTGCTGCTGTGAAATTCTTATGCCTCTTGCTACTCATATGTAAACATTTCTGATAGGTATGTACCTGGGAGCAGAATTGCAAGGTCATAGGATTGTGTGTATGTTCAGCTTTAGTGAATAAAAATGCCAGAAACATCTCTCAAATTACATTCAGTTTGTACCAGTTTACATTCCTCCAGCTGTGTAGGAGAGTTCTAGTTGCTCCACATTCTTACCAACCCTTGGTATTGTCTTTCTTTTCACTTTTAGCTGTCTAGGTAGGGAGTAATATCTCACTGAGGTTCTAATTAGCATCTTTCTTGAGCATTTTTCTGTGTTTATTGATCATATATTCTTTTTTTGTGATGTGATTTTTGAGTTTTGACCATTTTTCTATTGGGTTGTCCATCTTTTTGTTTTGTAGGAATTCAGTTATATACTGGTTATAAGGGGTTTTTTTTTTGTATTGGAAATATTTTTTTCCACTTACTAGTTTGCCTTTTCACGTTTTTATTGGGGTCGTAAAATGAATAGAGCTTTGTGCCAGCATTTGGGGAACATGAGTGAAAGGAATGTGGGAATTTTTTGTACTCGTAACTTTTAAGTTCAAATAATCACAATAAAGAGTTAAGGACAAAAATAATAATTCCTAGATAATTGGTATATTTTGATGTTTTTGTAAGTAATATTATCATTTTCTAATTGCTTGCTTGAATATGGAAATGAAGTTGATTTCTGGATATTTGTATCTGACAACCTTAGTAAATTCATTTATTCTAATTCTTTGTATGTTCTTTGGGATATTTTACATACACAATTATGTCATCTACAAATATTAACAATTTATTTATTTTTCTAATCTTACTGCCTTTTGGTTTTTTGTGCTTTATTGCACAGGCTAGGACTTCATGTAATTAAGTAGAAATGATGAGGGTGGATATCCTCACTTCATTCCCAATCAATCTTTTTTTTTTTCATGCTCATCACTTGGGCTAGAGTGCAGTGGTGTCATCATAGCTCACTGCAACCTCGAACTCCTGAGCTCAAGCAATCCTCCTGCCTCGGCCTCCCAAGTAGCTGGCACATGCCACCACACCTGGTTAATTTTTCTGTTTTTTGTAGAGACCAGGG